TTCATACAGCCACAACTAACCCATTCCTTACTATTCATGCAGATAATGCAACGCAGAAAGTAAGTGTTAAGTATACACATGTAATGTTGTGCAGTGATGTAAATGCAAGGGGCATTGGTTGAAGTGTTAAGGAGGATAAAAGGTAAAGGTTTTCCCCTGACATTAAGTCTAGTTGTGTCAAACTCTGGGGGTTGGTGCTCATTTCCATTTCTAAGTCAAAGAGCCGCTATTGTCCGTAGACGCCTCCAAGGTCACGTGGCTGGCATGACTGCAATGGAGCACTGTTACCTTCCTGCTGGAGTGGTACCTATTGATCTTCTCACATTTGCATGGTTTTGAACTGCTAGGTTGGCAGAAGCTGGGGCTAATAGCAGGAGCTCACTCCACACCCTGGATTTGAACTGCCGACCTGTAGGTCAGCAAGTTCAGCAGCTCAGAGGTTTAACCCTCCGTGCCCTTACCCAGAAATCTAGGGAGAGCCAAGGACATGTCTAGGATTTAAATGGAGAGACAGAATTATATTTAATTACAGCTGTTCATGAGTGGAATGTGCAGGTGCAGCTCCTCCCTGGAATGGGAATGAGCTCCGTTTCTTCTGCTTGTTTAGCAAGGTGCGGTGGCTGACACCTCATTGTGATGAAATTAAGTGTCAGGTGATCCTATCCGCTTTTCTTAAAATCATAGAATATTCGAGTTGAAAGAGACTGCGAGGGCCATCAAGCCCAAGCCCGTTGTGCATCTTTTTTGATGTTAGGCTGTTCCAGAAGCTCATTCTCCATCTTTTCAGTTTCAGGTGAATGCCCCAGGGCTGGATGTAACTTAATGCCAATATGTTCAGCCATATTGACAACTAACCAAAGTTTCTTTTTTTGCAATTATGAGAAACAGTAAGCATCAGGTACCTAGCCTAAAGCTTCACCATTTTTTACTTGAGTGGCTCACAGTGGCATGGAGGTGACTGGACCCTTGAAGTATAGTATAGTATAGTATAGTATAGTATAGTATAGTATAGTATAGTATAGTATAGTATAGTATAGTATAGAAGCCAGTGTGGTATAGACTCCTTAGAGCACCAACTTTGTGACGGATTGCATGTCTGCTACCCAGCCTAGCTAAGAATGAAGAATATCATCACCAGGAGGCTAGTCAACAGATGACAATGTATTGTCGAACGATTTCATGGCCGTAATCACTGGGTTGTTGTAGGTTTTTTCGGGCTATATGGCCATGTTCTAGAGGCCTTTCCTGACGTTTCGCCTGCATCTATGGCAGGCATCCTCAGAGGTTGTGAGGTCTGTTGGAAACTAGGAAAATGTCCTGTGGAATGTCCAGGGTGGGAGAAAGAACTCGTCTGTTCGAGGTAGGTGTGAATGTTTCAATTGGCCACCTTGATTAGCATTTAATGGCCTAGCAGTTTACCAACAAAATCCAACAAATGCCACATTCAGCAAAGGACAAGAAGGATCCTCTCACCTTGGCAGGAGTCTACCATATAACATGCAGCTGTGGACAAGCCTACATAGCGACCACCAAACACAGCATTGCCCAGACACAGAAATCAAGGAACATGAAAGGCACTGCAGACTACTTCAACCAGAGAAGTCAGCCATAGCAGAGCACCTGATGAACCAACCTGGACACAGCATATTATTTGAGAACACAGAAATGCTGGACCACTCCAACAACCACCATGTCAGACTACACAGAGAAGCCATTGAAATCCACAAGCATGTGGACACTTTCAACAGAAAGGAGAAAACCATGAAAAAGGTGGTCAGTTTAAACATTCACACCTAGCTCCAGCGGACAAGAGTCCTTTGTTTCACCCTGGTCATTCCACAGATATATAAACCCTTTTTCCTAGTTCCAACAGACCTCACTACCTCTGAGGATGCTTGCCATAGATGCAGGCGAAACGTCAGGAGAAATGCCTCTAGAACATGGCCATATAGCCCAAAAAAACCTACAACAACCCAACAGATGACAGTTTGGCACAAATATCTATGAACACCATGCATGATGTTGTGGATAAATCTGTCAGGTGGGGAGCTCCCCACAACAATGAAACCATGGGTCTTCAGGTAGTCCAGGCAATTATGATAGAATGTCAAGTCCTTTTCAGGGAAAAGACAGCAAGGTGTCCTTTGGTTGTATCGTAAAGAACTTCCGTGTCAACTCTTACGAATGGGAAAGTAAGTTGTGTGTTGTGCTGGTATTTATGTGAGTTGGTATATTAAGTTCTTCAAGAAAACAGGCCTACCTTCAGAAACTGCTTTAGAGCATAAGAGAAAATAGTTGTGGATTTATGCCAAGTGTTCACTTCAGTCACTTAGTAAGCTTTTCACATGAAGATCAATGAATCATTTACTACTATTCACTAGGAGCTGTATGTTGGCTTAAATCATCACTTCACAGACTAGTCAGTATTTTTATAATAGCCAAAGCTCACTGGAGAAAGTCTGAAAACTTAAAATTGATTAGAAAACCCTGCTACTGTTAATCAGAAAAAGACAACCTTAGTCCAGTTAATTTTTAAAAACTCCCAATTACCAGATCCTAATTGACCTCAGATGTGCAGTTTTTCTATCTTAGTAGTAGGAGAAAAGAACACAGAGCTGTTTCTTCTTTGTGAATGCACACAATTGGGCTTTACCACACCTGCACAATGCCTCTTCTGGAATAACTGATTTATTTATTTTTGTTGGTGAGGAGGCGGAAGCAGGAAGCGGCACGAAGCTCAGCAAGATGGTAAATAGCTTATCTGGCTGAGGGCAAAATGGTGGGGGGTGACAGAGCAGTTTGGGGTTTGGATGTTACATCCTCCTTTCTCTCTCTGCCTCAGAGGTAAGACAGAGGATCTAAGACGGCATCAAATTTAAGGCACACCCCATGTGTGAAGCTCCTTAAATGGGAAACAAGTGTGCCCTAGATTTGATGAAATACAGTATAATACTACCATTTGTTAACCACTGTTTTTTTTTTAATTCTCCAGAGACTAAATGATAAAACTGGACCAGTTGCACCAGAGAAGAATTGACCTGTGGGGGGAAGGGAAATGCAGAATGGAGTCTCCTGCAGCGATAGCACTTCATCAGGCTGCAAAGGAGAGCCTCTTTTCGGCAGGTCTGGCCAGATGCCAACGAGGGGTGAATTGCACACTGGACAAGTGAATCTACCTTGAAACATTGATATAATGCTTTGCCCTTGTTGCTTTTTTGTTGCACTGAAACTGAACTGTTTTCTTCAGATTTCATGGAATTCTTTGTTTGGAGATAAGAATTGTCAGTTCCGACCGTCTGTTTGAATTCTGCTGCTGAACTAGTAGCCTCTTAACGTTTTGCGTCGCTAATAAATGGCCTGATCTAGTTTCATTATTTGTTTGGAAAAAGCAAACCAAATGGCAAGCGGACATTACTGTTGCTTGTGAAACACCTGTGTTTCAGAAGTACTATTTTTTTCCCAGAAGAGGAAATGGTTTAAAACTTTCTACTTAAGTATTTTCTTATATCTAATGAATATTTTGCTAGAGCAGGAATTCTTAAAGGAGTGACAAAATGGTGGTTAATCTTGAATTTAAAGAAAGATTCCTGGAAAAAACAGATCAGTCCTAAGGTTCTGAATCTTACCAGATGAGTAAGCAACTCACGTTCTGGTAGCATTTGACCTGACCCAAGTGCCTGTTGCTTACCTCTGCTGGGTTGGAATGGCTTTATAGAGCTGGTCCTGCACTAAACACGTCTTTGTAAAAGCCACAAGTGAGTTCAACTTTGCACCAGCAGCCTTTCCCATTGATCTGCCTTTATTAGAAGTGTTTTGTCACTGTAGATTGCTCAGGCAAATCATTACCTGGGTTGCTTTCCACTAATAAATTACCAAAAAAAGAAGTGGGGGAGGAGTTTTCTCATTTCTATTAAAATGTTAACGGGTGAAAAAGAAGTATTTGGATATATTTTCAAATACTGAGTAGGTGATTTCATGGTGTGACTATGCATTGTAGCCGAAGAGAGTTGGAAGCTGGGAGTTAATAGCCACTAATTGAATTTGTGTGAATTATTAGTGGAAAAGCTCAAGTATACTTAGACCTTCACTGTGTACTTAATTGGAAGAACCTATTGTTTCTGCAATATTGTTTGGTTAAACATTGCACAGTTCTTACCTCATTTCTGTAAATAAAGTTTTGTGACTGTTTTGTATTGTGAAGAATTCATAAAATGTGGATATTTTGATTTGTAATATTTCTAATTGGTAGATCTAATTGAAAATTAAAAAATAATTTATTTTTATATGTTCATGGGAATTTTTAAGAAGTCACAAATCACTTTTGTAGATAATTTACTAAATAAATCAGGGTGGTTTAATTTACTTAAACCATTCGTTTAATATTCTGTAACGATTTGTATAAAATGTTGGTTTTGCCTAGATGTAAAATTGCAAGTTTATATAAAGATATGTACAAAGCTTTGGTTAATAAATTTTAATATTGTCTATGGCTGTGAACCTAACATGGAACAGATTTCTTCCAACTTTCCATTATGTTAGTCTCATAGCTTGTCATTACTTAGTGCCATATTCATATGTATGAAACAAAGCTTATTTACAACTTCTATTTGGTATTTTTCTGCAAGCTGGTTCTGTATTGGTCAAATCCATAGTGTCAAGAGGGAGTGGAGATGCAGTAGCCATGCCTATGTGCCCGTCCCATCCCAAATGAAAATGAAGAGTATCTATTTGCTACATAGACACCAAGTTATGGCTGGCGATGTAGTTAAAGCATTAGAGAAAATAAGTCTGAACTGTCATTCTTGGAATCAGAAGAGAGTAATACAAATTGGGGAAGGTGGAGTGAGGAAGTGCTTGTTACAAAGAGGGCTGAACACAGAGTTGAATGGAAAACGGAGTGGAGAAGGTGTGCCCCAAAAGTTGAATCAAGAATCAAAAGAGAGATTGGAAATGGGGCACAAGTACAAGACAGTGAAGTAAATACTGGCCACAACATAATATAAAGGAAGGCATTTTTTTATTTACTAAGGCACATGACATACTGAAATACTGAGGTACAAAAATACAAGTTATGGCATATATTTAAAATATCCCATTCTGATAGTAAAGCTCTTCAGCGATTCAGCTTTTTGCCATTTTTTTCTTCTGTACAAGTTCAACCAGCAACTTGTATCTGGACATACAGTCTTCCTGTAGAGAGACATAGAGTGATGGGGAAAGATGAGAAATGTGCATAGATTGATAGACATTTTTGGTTTTGATAAAAACATACAAACCAAAAGGGCAGACTTTTTTACAAGAGGTCATAGCAACTGGCATGGGAGTTCTTTCCTAAAGGGTCACTTCACATTACTGGTTTTTACTATATAGTTATACATATACAAGCTGATGGAGTAAAGTACACCAAGTTAGCAAAATATAATAATTATGTGTGTGTGGGGGTGGGGATGGGGGTTGAACGTTTGAAAAGGAACAAAAGAGCTCCTTTTTCTATCTAAAACAGTGGTTCCCAACCTGTGGTCTATGGACTGCCCAGTGGTCCCCAAGAACTAAAATATGGTCCATGGCCTCACCGTTACTACACTGTTGCAATGAGAGCTACTGGTCTTGCAAAACCCTCATATAGTGCCAAGGTTTATTAAATATGGTTTTTTGTAGGTGAGCAGATGGTGACTACTGGATGGCATATGTTCTGTATCAGAAACTAGAGCTGATGTGGTCTATCCAATGCAGTTTTCTGAAACCGAACCCCAAATAACCAAACTGAATCTAAAGTTGACCAAAAACTGATTTGTAACCCTTTTGGTACTAATGTTGGAGAGTGGTCCCTAGTCAAAAAAGGTTGGGAACCACTGATCTAACAACCAGGGTGGGCATAAGCATTTCCCTCCAGGTTTGCCGATTGCAATCCAATCCAACTAATGTGTAACCAATGAAGAAGAATGCTATGAACAATAGATCCACATCTGGAAGGCCTCACTTTGCCCATTGTAACTCAAAAATACACAACGATTTTGTAATTTTTCTAATCCAGGACATCCCTGATTGAAAGAACAAAACAAAGTGATTTTTGATCCAATACACAGCCTTCACATCCGTAATAATGCTCCCCAGAACAAATCAAAGCCTTAGAAAGCCTTTGTTTTGAGAGGAGAAAGCTTGAATGCAAAGAAAGGTTAGTCATACTCTGTGCCTAATTTTTGGTGCCATTTGTTAAAAGACCGAAGTGGACTCCTCCTCCTCAGGCTGAACTTTTAGCACAGCTACTGAAATGCTTCATCTTCAGATGTTCTTGCAACATTGGCCCATTTCTGACTCAGTGATGGGTAAAGCCCACAACTGCCTGTGCTTCTTGGCTTTATACCTTATTGCCACCTGTATATTGTGAGCATAGTAAAATGTGTAAGGACTACATGTTATTCAGTCATAAACACAAGCAATAAGTCCTGCTTAAAATTCAAATCTACTTTCCAGTTACTTTGGGCCCTTGCATTAAACATGAAAGAGCAAGGAGCAGTATTATAGATAGTTACTTGCTAAAGTTAGTTCTACAGCAACATAATAATTAACTTTGTGATTTTTATCTCCTTCCTTGTAGTTTAACTCTACAGAACACTATGCCATTACCTTACTTTTCCCTGGAACGTATTTTGCAATCTTATCCCAACGCTCTGCCGTTCCCTTTGGATACTGCTGTAAGGCTACTTCCAGAAGCTTCTGCTGACTCTGAGTCCACAAGTCTTCTGAACCGCGAGGTGTTTCTCTTTTCTTAGCCTCATCATCACTGTACTCTTCTTGCTCTACGTTATCAAAATCCTTCTGGCGTCTCCCTCGACACTTGTCTTCTGTTGTCTCTTTTGCAACAGGGACTATGGTTTCTGGGGCCTTTGGAACTGTTTTCCGCTTGCGGGGTTTGGTTTCAGTCAACGCTGTTTCTTCTTGCTGGTTAAGTGTCGCTGCATCTATTGGTTGTGAGTCCCAACTATGCTTTGCTGCTGTATCGTCTTCATGATCCTCTTCCTCCTCTTTATCCCGCTGTGTGATTATATGATCTGGTAAGCTAACATTGGCCTTGTTGGATCTTGGGTTTTGTGCCAACATTTTCAGATCTGAGAGCCGAACAGTACCTAACAAGAAAGAGCATTTTCAGTTTTGTTTATAATATGTTAAATATAAAAGAAGGTTGGAGAGTAGGAAGCAAGTTGACAATTTATAGTAGTAGGCACCCTAGACCGATGCACCAGATACTTCTGATGTGAAGTATTTGAATCAACCCTTTTGAAGAACAGATTCAAAATCCAAAGTTTATGGGATCTTATATATTAAATCAGAGTTATTTAAAATAGACTCACTGATGTTAATCATGGGTGAATTAAGACATGCTGATTTTTTCACATGAGTAAATCTGAATCTAACCCAGTAGAGGTTTGTGTTTTTCCTCTAGTTTCTATAGAATTCTCACTCGGTTTCAGCAATCCTAAAATTGCTACTTTTACATAAATTAAAAGATCTTTTGATATAGTTTACCTCTTTTGTTCATATGTTGTATAGTCTCCATTGGAAAGGGAAAACTACAATCCTCCCAAATGAAACAGAAGGCAGATGCACTGCAATGGTGCTTTATCAACTGCACCCTGTAGTTATTTTAATTTGCCTTTTAGTATTCTGGAACAGATGTCAGGTTGTGTTTTCCTTGCACTCAAGGCAGGGTCTCCTATTATCCACATAATGAGTGTGTGCATTAAGAGAAAGCCCCTTCCTTCTACCTGTATTAGCTTCCAGAAAAGGCAGTCAGTACAGCTAAGCGTATTTTTGTGACATCTGTATTGAGTTTTCATTGGCTTTTGCATTCTCAGGACCAAGTAATCACTAACATTAAAAATGCTTAGCAACACACTAGTAGTTCAGTGGCACCCACTAGTTCTGGAAACTTAACTATTTTCACTGGATTTTCCCAGTACTGCAGAGGAACCATTGCATTTTCCATCATCCCTTTAAAAGTTCATTGATTTCTGCTGTGGGGAGGCTTCAGCGTTCAATGGAAATCTATCCCAAAGCTGGATAACACAACAAAGTGCCAGTTTCCGGGCTACAACTGGGGGGTGGGGGGCAGAGAGATTACACTGTCATAACATTAAGTCCTATGCCTTATGGGGCAGCTGCAGCAATAACAACTGAAGTAGGATACAGGAGTTTGCTGCCTAAGACATTTGGCTAGAAACTACCTGTTTTACTCTTCCATACAAGAAGCTGGTGAGTTAAGACTGTAGCATACTTCACCTATTTTCTGAAGTTTTCTGCCAACAAAAGGAGTTTTGCAAAGAATGCTGGATTATGGTTTATTACAAAACACACGTGAGTTTTTAAGCATGAGTGAGTCACATCACCACAACTGATTTCCACTTAACTCTGAGGGAATAAGGACAGATGTAACATACTTACCTGGGGAACATGTAACAGAGTCTTTCATCTGTTTGGCTTTCATTGTAACCTGTTTAGGAAGAGAGCCAGAGCATTAGAAGTTGTAAGAGCAGCCATGTTACAAGATGCCTAAGAAAACTGGCCAGGGCAGAAGAGATCGAGAATATTAATAGTCCAGCATTTCTCAACCTGGGGGTTGGGACCCCTTAGGGGGTCGTGAAGGGGGGTCTGAGGGGTCACCAAAGACCATTAAAAAACACAATATTTTCTTTTGGTCATGGAGGTTCTGTCTGGGAAGTTTGGCCCAATTCTATTGTTGGTAGGGTTCAGAATGCTTTTGATGATAGGTGAACTATAAATCCAAGTAACTACAACACCCAAATGTCAAGGTCTATTTTCTCCAAACTCCACCAGTGTTCACATTTGGGCAAATTGGGTATTCGTGCCAAGTTGGGTCCAGATCCATCATTACCTGAGTCCACAGTGTTCTCTGGATGTAGGTGAACTACAACTCCAAAACTCAAGGTCAATGCCCACCAAAACCTTTCCAGTATTTTCTGTTGGTCATGGGAGTTCTGTATTCCAAGTTTGGTTCAATTCCATCATTGGTGGAGTTCAGAATGATTGTTGATTGTAGGTGAACTATAAATCCCAGCAACTGCACCTCCTAAATGACAAAATCAACCCCCCAACCCCACCAGTATTCAGATTTGTGTGTATCAGATATTTTTGCCAAGTTTGGTCCAGTGACTGAAAATTTTTATTTATTTATTTATTCATTTACTATATTTATATACCACTCTTCTCAGGCCACGGGCGACTCAAAGCAGAAAACACAGCCTGCATATCAGATATTTACATCATAATTCATAACAGTGACAAAATTACAGTTATGAAATAGCAAGGAAAATAATTTTATGGTTGGGGGTCATCATAACACGAGAAACTGTATTTAAGGGGTCGCGGCATTAGCAAGGTTGAGAAACACTGTAATAGTCTCTCTCAGTGGTTCCTAACCTGTGAACTGCAGATCACTAGTGGGCCGCGAGGACGAAAATCCGGTCTGTGAACCTCCTTCCCCTTTATTTTATTTTATTTGTTATTTTATTTCTGCTCCTTTTGCACTGCCTGCCACTCCTTCCCTGTCGCTGACCATGGCATATGTTCTGTATCAGAAACTTGCTGATGTGGTCTATTCAATGCAATTGTCTGAATCAGCACCTGAAACTGAATCTAAAGTTGACCAAAAACTGATTTGTAACCCTTTTAGTACTAATGTTGGGGAGTGATCCCTGGTCAAAGTGGTCCTTGGTCAAGTGATCCCTGGTCAAGTGGTCCCTAGTCAAAATAAGGTTGGGAACCACTGGTCTATCTGGTCCAGATCTGGATTGTCAAGACACTTAAACCTCCAAAGTATCAATCTCAGGTTTACCTACCCATTACTTCACTGAAAATCTGAATATAGTTCCAAGGGAATCTTGTCTCAATCAACAGAGGACCAATAATGATCATTTGGTTGATCATTATCCCACAAAGAGGACATGCTTCTGTTCCTGACATGAGCAATGTCTCCAGAACCCAAGAGTCTGATGTGAGGGGTGCTGCCTATCTCTCTTTCTTGACATGCATTCTGAGCAAGGCAGGGAAATTGTTGAATATCGAATGTTCTTGTACTACATCTCCCATGGTCCAACCACACAGGCTGATGGGAAAGGGTGGTCTGTAAAGGAAGCTGGCTTGTAGTGGGACACACCACTGGCGCATCAAGCTCCACTTACACATACTTTTAACCAAATCTGCTATTCACTCTCAGTACAATCAAGAAATGCTCTCCACATTTATCTAGAGAACCCACCCAAGTAATAATAGTTTAAGCCCATATTCTTTAAAGCAGATATTTGAAAGTCAACAGCGCCTGCTAACAACAGAATGCAGAAAGGAGTGTGTTGCTCCCATTGGGCTCAATCCAGGCAGCCCAGTGATCGTCACTCATTTCCCTATCTCTTCTTTGACATATGGCTTGCTTTTCTAACTGCACCCCTTCCCTGATACCCCAGGCTGCCAGGCACAACACTAATTAGAAAAATGTGCTCATATCTTCCCACCTGCCTGTTGTTTTGCTGCTTACCTGAGCCTTTTCCATACAAGCAGCAAATCCCCCATCAGCCTGCTATTGCAACCTGAATACAGGAGATTAGTGACTACAGAGGCAAACAGAATCAGTTTACAACATCTCAGGCAAACAAAGATATTGTTTCATGGAATCAGAGAGTGCTTTTCTGTCAGTTCAGAAAACCAGTTAATAATCACACTAAAAACCCCTTTGCATGGCGAACTAATAACTTAAAAATAATCATGGCCAAGATCCGGAGGAGAGCTTGGAAAAGTTGCTTTTTCTGCTCTAACTCCCTCTACCCCTTTCTCAATGGCATTTATTGTCCCAAAACTTTGGATCTTGAACTTCAGCATGATTTTTGCACTCAAACCGCCATTTGGCTTAACACTTGGAAGATCAAGTATCCAGAAAATTTAGTTGCATAAACTACTATTAAATCTGAGTCATTTGAAATTGTATGCTAGTAATGGCAATCTCGGCAAGACTATTATACCGTTGGCATCAACTGACTACTGTAAAGATCTGATCACCTTTACAAGTGCCTACAAAATGCTCTGTTTAAAACAACCAATTTTAAAGTAGATGTAACTAATTTTAGTGTTTATGCATATTTATAGTTATTTTATGTTCCAACATGGAATGCTTTCCGTATATATGTTGTATATATGTTGTGGTCTGCCCTGAGTCCCGTTTGGGGTGAGGGGTGCAATATAAATGTTTCAAATAAATCATAATAAATAAATACCAGACAGCGCTAAAGAACTTCATGCACCATATGTCATCCACACACACTTCAATCTGATGGGAATCCAAACTCTGTGTTCACTGCAAAATCCTAGAAAGAATGCGCTATTAATGAATTGAGCCAGAGAAAGTGTATCCTTCACGTGTGCATGTCTGATATACCTTTATCTGTTGTTTGTCCTGTCTTTAATGGCACTGAATGTTTGAAATGTATGTGTTCTGTGATCCCCCTTTGGGATGAGAAGGGCAGAATATAAATGCTGCAAATAAATAAAGAATTCCCCCAAGAAGTAAGAGTGCAAGAGCAAAAGTTACAAATCTAGTGAGGGGGAAATGGGCCAAGAAACAGGTGTGTGGAAGGCCAGCCCAGAGTGCTGGGACAGGTAAGCAGGTCAGGTGGCAAAAGCCCTTGATTAAAAGAGACTGAGAGCAGCTTCGCTTTCCTAATCAGGGCAGTTGATAAAAACAAATCTAATACGTCCTACCAGCATAAAGCCCGGAAGGTAATTTAATGAATGCTAAATGATCTATCAACTTACAAATAAGAATATGATCTCATTATACTAATTGAGAGGCTTTCTTTTTGTTTTGTTGGAAGAGCTAAAATGGCTGACGTGCCAAACAACTGCTTGAATGTTTGGATCTTTCAGGACAATTATCACATCAAACTGACAAGGATACTTGGAGTAGATTTAGGCTAGCCTGAAGGCAAAAATAAAAGCAATTACCCAATTTTTACTAAGATTCCAATATATGGTCATGTTGCATGTGTTTATGCACCTTCAAGTTGCCTGCTGACTTATGGCAACCCCATTAATCCCATATAGTTTTCTAAAACAAGGAATGCTCAAAGGTGAATTTGGCAATTTCGTCCTGTGAAACATCCCCTACAAAACTTTTCAGCAATCGGAATTAAGGGATTACATCTTTCTTAAAAAGAAACTATGTTTGGTAAGTTAGAAAGAGCGAAAAGGTGAATTCTGACTCTGTCCTTACTAGGCTGCTAAAAGATCACATTTGACAACTCCTTGGGAGTTTGAATTTGATCACATCTCAAAACTGTGATCCGTATACGGCCACTGGACACTTCTTTTATGCAGCTCAGACAATGATAGCTCAATGTATTATTGAAGACTTTCATGGCCGGAATCACTGGGTTGTTGTAGGTTTTTTGGGCTGTATGGCCATGTTCTAGAAGCATTATCTCCTGATGTTTCACCTGCATCTATGGCAGGCCTCCTCGGAGGTTGTGAGGTCTGCTGGAAACTAGGAAAATTGGGTTTATATATCTGTGGAAAGTCCAGGGTGGGAGAAAGAACTCTTGTCTGTTGGAGCTAGGTGTAAATGTTTCAATTGGCCACCTTGATTAGCATTTGATGGCCTGACAGTTTTTAGGTGTGGTTTGTTTTTGCCTGGGGGAATCCTTTGTTGAGAGGTAATTAGGTGTTCCTGATTGTTTATTGTCTGGAATTCCCCGTGTTTGAGTTTTGTTCTTTATTTACTGTTATAATTTTAGCGTTTTTAAAATACAGATAGCTGGATTTTGTTCATTTTCATTTCCTCCTTTCTGTTGAAATTGTCCACATGCTTGTGGATTTCAATGGCTTCTTCGTGTAGTATGACGCTGTAGTTGTTACAGTGGCCCAGCATTTCTACGTTCTCAATATGCTGTGTCCAGGTTGGTTCATCAAGTGCTCTGCTATGGCCGATTTCTCTGACTGAGTTAGTCTGCTGTGTCTTTCATGTTCCTTGATTCGTGTTTGGGCAATGCTGCGTTTGGTGGTCCCTATGTATACTTGTCCACAGCCGCATGGTATACTGCAGACTCCTGCAGAAGCGAGAGGATCTCTCTTGTCCTTTGCTGAACATAGCATTTGTTGTATTTTCTTTGTGGGTCTGCAGATAGTTTGTAGGTTGTGTTTCTTGGGTGACTTTTGGTTAACAGATCTTCACAAAAGATGAAAGCCAGTTTCAGTGATGCAAGCAGTGATGCTTCCAGGCATCTCACCTGAACTGAAATGCCTTGTGCCACAGGTTTTGAGTTATTTATTGCACTGTTCAAATTGCTGACTTACAAAAAAAGAAGGTAAGGCAAACAAAGATGTGAATCGAAGCTCTGCACTATTAACTGGAAGACATCTCCCACTTGCAAGTCCTCGATATCTCTGAAAGCTCATACTAAAACAGCGAATCTTAAAGATACTTCTAAC